AACCAAGTTCCAACTGCATAACTCTGGTTGTCACCTTACCATCCCATACAGGGGATCATTTAACAATTACAACCAACATCAACGGGGACACCATCCTGAAAGAAATCTTTTCCAGCCCCCAGCCTCACCAAACACATATCAGAAGCAGGCCCCTACAAACCCAGATACATCAACTAAAAGGAGCACTAGACTCCGCCAGAACAATGGATATGAAGCCTGAGGACGTATCTCGGGTATAATGATCTGCACCCTTTCCCCTCCACAACCCAGCTTTCAAGGGCCATGCATTGTACACATGCCCAGAACAACATTTGGTGTGCCTTACCCAGCACACTACATGTGACAGTCACTCCTGCGTGGATGAACCAGACAGTTCTCTGTATGATGTCATTCGAGTGCACAGAGATTAATAGAAGACAAAAACACCCCATCTCCTCTGTGTTTTCAAAAAACAATCACTTACCTCAGATCTGACCTCTCAGGCCCTCTCCTCAAAGGAAACCTGCACAAACACTTTCTCGGGGCAAGCCTGGGAGATAATTTTTAATGTCTCGCAAAGGTAGAAATTTCATGATCTTAATAATGGCACTGGATTTACGGGTTGTTGTTGTGGTTTTTTTTTTTTTAAACAACAGTCTCTCAACCAGTAACCCCATTCCTCTTTTGGCCTATGATTGCAGAGGTGTTAATGGGCTACTTCACTTTGGTCTCTTAGCTGGAAGAGATTGTTTAGTGTAAGTGGCTAGCACATAGTCGGTGACTTACTAAATACCTTTGCAGACTGAAAGAAGAGCTCTGTGTAACTCAAAAGTGTGTCTCTTTCACTAGCAGAAGTTGGCCCAATAGCAGATATTCGCTCATTAAGCAGCCACTAGACTCAGTTATTTTTATATCAGCAAGTGTGGATAACTTGCATCCAAGAGTTTTAAAAGAGCTAGCTGGGGAGTTTGCTGGACCACGAATGATGATTTTCAACAAGTCTTGGATTTCCATAAGCCTGGAAGAAAGCTTATACTGGGTAAAAGGCTTGACCCAAATGATTATAGGCCTGTTTGACATCAGTTCTGGACAAGATAATGGAGTGGCTTATATGGGATGTGATAAAGAGATCAAGTTAGTTTCATGCTTTATTAATGATAATATTACAAGTTTGGTTGATAAAGGTGCTAATGTCACCCCAACAAATGTCCATAAGACATTTGACTTGGTACTGCCTGATGTTTCGTTAAGAAAACAAGAAAGCTATAAAAGTAACAACATGGCATGCATGGCAAAGGACTAAAAGCTGGCTACGTAACATTGTTTATGGGGTATCGTCCTCAAGCAGGTGCATTTTCAATGATCTTCTGCAGGACTCAGGTCCTGACCACATACTAGCTAGCTTTTCATTTAATAACCTGGAGGAAAACTTCCCCAGGGGGACACAAATTGGAGAGTGGAAAATAATGAGAACAGGTCACTGATTCAGAGCAAGTGTTTCCCTATGGTTAATTATAAAATCTAGACCTGAATTACAACAAATGCAGACCGCAGTTACAGGATGGAGGACCAATCCTGAGGGTCAAGCGAGGAGATGACATGGTCAGTACCTGCCCCCCTCCCACGTCTGCCCTCACCAGTCACCCCGGGCTGGGCTAATGGTACTTTGAGAGAGAGTCTCAGATGACTTCCTCACTAGCAAGGTGCTGATGTTGAGGTGAGAGGCACAAGACCCTCTATATCCCTGGGTCTGCCAGAGCCCCCAAGACCCAGCCAGATTTTGGAGCATCCCCA